AAATTGCTGTGGCTTAACTTTTCCCTCTCTAAGCCACCATCCAGCATGGCTTGCAGGGAAGTGTTTCATAAGAATAGAGAAAGTTGACATTCCCCTATTGAAAAATAGACTTCTGCATTTCCAGAGGCCTATCATTTTTCAGGAACAATGAGAAACTAATCCCTGTTATATGAAAGTAAGCAAGAGCCTAGAAGACAGAATCCATGGCTAAGGCTTTGTTGGATGACATAGCACCACGTGATGAAACCACCTTGCATAACAAGCTGCCTTATCCATATAACGGGAAACAGGTTTGAACTTGATGTGCTTTGCCTCCTAATGAGAAAAATATGAAGCTGCTAGAGAAGTACACAGTTGGGTTTACCTTGGGCCAGTTTAATTTCCTGTCTCCATTCCTCTTCTGAAGGCAGACAACCAATAAATATCCTGCTCTAAAAAATAAATGAAAATGAAAAAAAATAAAATAAAAATAAAAGCCCAAACCAAACAAAACATAACCAACAAAAGGAAAGAAAACATTCCATTAATTTGCCCAAATTATTGCTTGAAGCTGTGAAGGTCTGTCAGCCTAACATGGCAGTGAAGGGCACTTCTGTAGCTCCCATCTCCTGGCTGATGTTGTGGAGAATGGAAGCAATACCACTGCTACCATATCCCTAGGATCCGAAAGCAGAAGATCATCCCAACTAGTTACTCTTGCAGTCATGACAAGGTAATGATTTTCCATTGGTTTTACCCTCAGTTTAATGGTCCTCATTTCATTACATACATGTCTGTTGAGTCACTTGCCAATATGGATTAGATCTATGCAAAGTCTTCACAGTGACAGACCCACCAGCTATGGCTCCACCACCTGCATGTGCCACCAGCTATTTCTACACATTCACTCAGCTGAGACAGGGCATCATGGAGGCAATTCTGCCCCAGACCTTTGCACAGGAAGCACCTTTCAAAAGAATCAAAGTTTTATATATGATAGTTCAGCTTGGAAGGGACCTCAGGAGGTCTCTAGTCCAAGCTCTTGCTCAAAGCAGTGAACACTGAATTCAAACCAGGTTACTCAGGGTCAGAAGTAGCTTCAGCTACTGCTTCAACATGTCCAAAATGCTTCCTTATGTTCCAAACTGTTGCAGCTCAGGAGCTTGCTGAATGAGATGGGATTTTTATACATTTACTGAATTTCAGTGGATTTTTCTTCCTCAAACTTGTTCAGATTTACAGTGAACTCAGGGGAAAATATTAGTGGTGCAATTCAGCTCACAGGAGGATACATCCCACTTGTGGTGTCTCCATGTAGGCTTCTGCTTGTCATCTGGGTGCTATTACAGCCAAGGGAGAATTACCCAGTGCAAGCTAAAGCAGCCAAGACTGATTCAGTTGATCAGATCTAGGTGTCTACATATAATTCTCAGATCTTGCCAATGATGTAACCCATTTCTTGGGTGTGTTTCTGGTGCTTCTGTCTGTGACGTAGAAATTAAGTTTAACGCAACAATTAATGTGAACAAAAAAGGAGATGTCTGGATTGACTCCTATGGTGTAGGAAACTGTGCTGGAGATGAATGCAGGCTTGTGTGTGTCATCTTAATCACTCAGAGTATATTTGGCTCCTGAAAGGACTGAATCCACTCTTCAAGCCTCTCAAGTCTGAAGCACAAAAAGCTCAGGGAGTCACTGTGCTCTTCCCTGCCTTCTGACATTTCTTCTGTTGCTTTAATGAGCATCACCTAAAGAGAATTCCCAGGAGATACATCAAGAGCAAATGCAGTGTCAGCCTACATATGCTGCCTACATTCCTTGCTATGTCTGCAGCCTACCAATGTAGGGAAGACATTTCAAGATATTTCAAGGCCTTATTCTGTCTATTTAAGAATCAGAAATGTATCACTTTATATTCTGGATATTGGCAGTAGAAGAATGCCAGGTGTCAAAACCAGTGGTTGATTTTTGCCTTTGTTTTATTGACAGCATCAAGCAGTCAGATCCCTAATGTATAGGACTTCCTACAAGATTCATATTAAGCTTTAGACTTAAGTCTAAAGTGAAGTTTCTGCAGCCAGGTATCCTAAAAACCTTAAAAAACCCTTAATAACATACAGAAAATGCAATGAAAGGGTAACCAGCTCATGCTGGTTATGCCTATTTGGTTCTGTCAAGAGCTTAAAAAAAAATTAATCCAAAACATTTTGTATTGATTCTGAGCTGGTTAAAGCTTACAAATCCACTGTGACCAAGAATTGTATAAATATAAATGCAAACACACAAATCTCTATGTACATTTTAACTTGATACTAAGAAATGCACCTTCCTCTACCCTGTTATGCTTTGGCTGGGATATAATTAGGGTGGTGGGAACTCATGCTGTACCCTGTGTTGGGTTATGTGTTGCTGTACCCTGGATGATCCAGGCTGCTGCTGCAGTGACCCTATAGCTCTGACAAGTAGGCAAATAACAAACATCTGTGACAATACACATATACTGCAGATCCACAAACCACAGCAAAACAGAACATGAAAGGTTTGCCTTTGTTTGTCTTGTTTTGGAACAAGTCCCAGAGTCCTTGCTCTCACAGTGGAATCTTATGGCCCTGGCAGGCCCCATGAAATTACATGCTAGAGGAAAGCAAAAGGTTTCCTATGATATTTCCAGGTTTTCTTTGATTCCACACAGCCCATCAGTAAGTGCTGATTAGCAGGGAGAATGACCTCAAGTCACGTCAGCTGTAGGTTGTGTTTTCCTGGAGGGAAAGGAAGAATATGATTTCCGCCTCTCAAAGATAAGGATTATCACAGGTTTTAAAAGCATAATTTTGTTCTTATTGTCTTTTTTCTTTTATAGAAGCCCTTCAAATGAAGGGAGAGATTAATGGTAGGTGAGTGTTTAATCTTTTGAAATGCCAAGGCTTCTTCAAGTGATAACATCAGTGCATCAGACCTCAGATCTACATTGTCTGGGGTTTAACAGTTGCTTTATGACAGAAGAGAATTTACTTTCTTATCCACTTTTGGGCATCTATGTGTCACTCACTCATTTGCCAATTCACATGCCTTTTAATTTTGACCATTTTCCCTTCCAAATGTGAGATAGGATTTTCCAGAGTGTCTACAATCCAGATCCTTGAAGTGATACTATTACTTTTGATGCCAATGGGCTGCGTTTGAAGGCCAATTTGTTGAGAGCCATAAATCCCACTGTCTCTGCAGAAAAAAAACAAACAAACAAACACAACACAACAAACCCCCAAAACACATTAGAAAATTAATAGACTACTAATTAATTGATTTACCAGGCATTGAGCAAGGATTTCTGGATCATGTCATTTTCACTGCTGGCCCATGTGTATATATTTAGGTCATACTTTTATCTCTCACGTGTAAGTCCCATTTCTACAGAAAGTTTCATTAACTGATTTTAGTTTCTGTTTCACGGATGCTGAAGGAATCAAAATGCTCACCATTTCAACCTGAATTCCTTTCTATCTGTGGGTAATTTGCTTCTAATTCAAAGGATATCAGTCCTGCTTATTAAAAAGCAAGGTACGAAAATATGTTATTAATGCTTCAGATTGGCTGGTCTTAGAAATCAATATTGTTCAATGTAGCTAATGAGATTTATGCTGGCTGAAGACACACATAATTTTTTTTCAGTGTTTAGGAATCTGGCATCATGATGCTTTTTTAAAGAGAAGTGAACACCAGAGTTGGAAAGTGAAAGAGTTCAGCTAAACATCTTAAAGTTTCAAGGTTATTAAAATGTTAGTTGGAGTGAAATTAAGATGTAAACCCACAAAAACAAATTTAAAGTATGATTTCCTGTAGTTTCATTGTTCTGGACAGGTCACAATAACATTTAATTATGTTTTGTCATGTATGACCTAGTGATTTTTAATGCAGAGGCCATGACAGATGGGATAACCTCCTGATAGCATTATTCTTGAGCAGACGTTTTGCAGGGTTTGCTTCCTACTCTGGGTCACTCACATTCTCTGTTTCTCTGGCCTGTGGCCAAGCTCGTGTTTCATCCTCTCCATGTTATGTTATTTCTGCTCAACACCAAGTCACTCAGCTCAAATACAGGCTTTTCTTGCCTTGAGTAAGTTACCACTGACTATAGCAATTAGAAGCAGAATTCAAAACTTGTTTTAAGATTGAATTGTTTAGCTCCATGGTTTCTTGTTAAGGACAAGGTTTTAACAGTACTTTTGAAATATGACAGCATTTTTACTGTATAATGTTCATTTATGTGAATTACTGTGGTTTCAACATGTTCTACAGCATTTACTTTAATAAGAAACTGTACTGATTTAATTAATACAGTTGAAATGTCTACATCTGCCAGTGTGAATTTTTCTAGAGAATCTGCTTTCTCAGTAGGAAACTGAAATACTTCCTCCATCAGCCCCTTAGGGTTCCTGGATTTGACTGCTTTTTATGGCTCCCAAAGGAGTTGAGTGAGATTCAGTTTCAGACAAAGACACCTAAAATTAATCTACATGTGACTTAAGCGTCTAAGCTCTTGTTGTAGCCAAATGAGATCTGATGAATGCAAAATAAAATACTAATAAAAAAAAAAAGACTAATAAAAATAAAAGAGCTATTCAGTTGACTCCCAAATGATCACCTTTCATCAGCTGAATGGACCTCATCTCCATTGGTTGTGTTCATTACCTATTCAAGTTAGAGATACATTGTCTAAACATGGACATCTACAGCCATTTCAGATACCTTTGGTCTTCTGGAGGGTTTGTCACCATCCCACGTGAGAACCCTGGATGTCTCAGGGTATTTCAAGTGGCATTAGAGGCAAATTATCAGGCAATGGAATCACAGTACAGGGTTCTTAATAATTTTTTTATGTTAAGCAAAAGCAACCTGAGGAAGGAAATGACTGTGCAGATCTGTCTTTTCCTGTTGAGAAACCAGGTCCTGAAAACCTTGGTCATACTGGTTGAGGTTATGTAGGAGTATCAAGTGACATTTTCCTTCCTGTCTCCATGCAGCTTTCAGAGGGGATCAATGCAGGCCAAGGACTGGGCATCGAAATCATTGCAACATTCCAGCTGGTGTTGTGTGTCCTTGCCACCACAGACCGGAGGAGGAATGATGTCTCAGGATCAGCACCTCTGGCCATTGGTCTCTCCGTTGCCTTGGGACATCTTCTTGCTGTGAGTTTTAACCTCTCACAATTGATATCTGCAATGTCCCACCAATAGGATGGGCCACTGAAATCAGGAAGATGATGGGGAGATGATAGTTCTCCTTCCTCTTTAGAGTCTAACCTTGTTTCTGCAACATGCATGACCCTTCTTTCTTGGGCCATGTGGATGTGGCAGTAAGTGATGAGGTTTCATACCTGGGAGGACTCACTGCAGTAGGACCTGGATCCCTGGAGGGACAGGACAGGCACAAGGCAAACAATCTTTCTCCCTTTTTCTGAGGGAGAGCAGGTGGGATGAATGAAGCTGTTGTGAACATCTGAACTATGCTGTTGGCTGCCACTTGCCCTCCTGTGTAATGCCAATGACAATGCCACGTGTCCATCAATGCCTCACCACAGGTTCTCTTTTCACCTCCTAGATCGATTACACCGGTTGTGGAATTAACCCAGCCAGATCTTTTGGCTCTGCACTGATTGCCAACAACTTTGAAAACCACTGGGTAAGTCGAATAAACTTGTTTGCCTTACAAGAGACTCTGCATATACATAATCTACAAGGTCAGAAATATTTGAACACATATCATGGAATCTTCGAATCGTGGAACAGTTTGAGTTGGAAGGGCCCTTAAAGTTCCAAACCCCCTGCCATGGGTGGACAACTTACACTAGACCAGGTTGCTCCAAGCCCCAACCAACCTGGCATTGAACCCTTCCAGGGAGGGGACATCCACAACCTGTTCCATTGTCTCACCACCCTGACTGTAAAAAAAAATTAATAAATTAAATCCTATTTTTTTCCCCATCTCATTAGCACCAACTCAGTGAGTTGCCATTTCTATCTCAGTTAACAAAAACAATCTCCTTTTCATCCTGACCAGCCTCAGGAGATCACTGTCCTTGTGTTGAGTGTTTATGTTCAAAGTAATACAGCAGATTTTCTTTAGTTACATGCTGTTGTGTTTATTTATTTCAAATATTTTCAATTTTAAAGCCCCATTGCACAGAATCCTGTATTGGATAATCATTATTTAAACTGAGCTTGTGAAGTGTTACTGCTTAAGACCTAATTTAAGAAGGTCCTTAAGCAAGTTTACAGGCTGAAATGGCTCATCCAATATTTGGAAACTAATAAAATATTAATCTTCTTAAAGTTAAGTGTCTGCTTATATGCTTTCATGGAGAAGTGCTATGGAAACACTATAAATTTTAGATTATTCCCTGTGGTTAAATGTGGTTAAAATGAGGAACTTCATGAATATGTATTTATTTCACTGAAGCTCAATAAAGAAGGCTAATATAAAAGCCCTAAATGAACATGTGTTCTTGAATATTTAATGTGCAGCTTGTTCCAACTCTCCTACTCATGATTTTGGCAGCCACTTGCAAAGGAATTCATGGAAATTTAGTGGTAATACAGTGGATTGTGAAAATTTTGGATATGAATGCCATTTTAATCTAAATAGTAAAGCACAAAAGGAGGACTTGGGGGAATTTTTGCCATTATGTCTCACTTAAAACATTTCTATTGGAATAGTAAAGTAATATAACTAAGCTAGTTGCTAGTATGGCCAGAATTTCACACAAAAAAACTAGTTTTCTTTGTACAGAAAGTAGGAGATGATGATGAATCTTAAACCACTGAATTGCTGAATAACATAAAACGTTTTCAGACTCAAGAATTCTTTGGCCATTGGAAATCCCTTAAAAATGTGTTATTTCTAATAAAATTGTCATAACTACTAAAATATTATCTCTCCCTCCAGACTTTGCTTATCAGAAGTGATCAGACCAATACAATTACAGCAACATCATTAGCTGAATAGCAGCTAGTAGCAAATAAGCCCCTAATTAGGTCCTCACTAAGTATTGTTTTCTAATTCACCCATCACTGAATGTTAGTGGGGGAATACAATCTAATGTCTTAGTTGCTTTTAGAAATTGTGCCCCCCTGACAAATTTATCTGAAGTAACAGAGATATGTTATTATTAGTTTGCCTCATTTTAAATATCAGAACTTGACAGCATAGTCCTGGTTATTAATGTCTGGGTCTATGACCAATTCATGGTGAGAAATTCCTAGTTTCTTGTCACATGGTCGAGTAAATATTCAGGTTGTAATTTTAGTGTTTCCACTTCAAAGTTCATGGTGAAAATCCTCAGAGGAGATTTTTGGAACAGCTTTAAATGCAGTAGTCCCTGATGTATTCACTGGGCTTGGAACTGTGTTTCAGATCTTCTGGGTTGGCCCAATCATTGGAGGAGCAAGTGCTGCCCTGATTTACGACTTCATCCTGGCTCCCAGGAGCAGCGACCTGACTGACCGCATGAAGGTGTGGACCAGTGGCCAAGTAGAAGAGTATGATCTGGAAGGAGATGATATGAACTCCCGGGTTGAAATGAAGCCAAAATAAAGAAAGAGAAGGAAAAGGGGGGGAAAAAAAAGGCAAAAAAAAAAGCAAAAAAAAAAGCACATTGGTTTCCGAAGATTTTATCAGTGTTATAGACTCTTTGTAAACCAGCAAGCAGTACTTTGTTTTTCATTCAATAGGGTTTTCCATGTTTTTTGCCCCCAATCTTAATAGCATTTTTATACCTGGGTGTTTTTTTTAAATTATCAAGTTTTCAGGCCAAGACGTTATTAGCCCCTCTTGCTTGAGCTAAAAGAACTGGGCTGGAATTGAACTCCTCCCTTGCCACCACCAAATTCTTCTGATGTTTTTAAAGTTGCTGGTTCTCCCAGGATGTCACTCAATAATGATAAGTGGTTCAGATGAGCAGTCTGTTTGCTGAAAGAATAGATACTGAGGACAGAGCATCATCTGCACCAATAATGGGGCACTTATGCCAGAAAAACTCTTTATATTAACATATGCAAGGGTGGTATCTAATGCCAACAGTGCATGTGGAAACCATTCACCTCAAATTGTTACCCAAAAGCATCTTTTGGAAGCAAAGGCCACAAAAAAAGTACTTGTTACATAGAATTAACCATAATTTTCCAAATTATTTATAATCTTTGAAAAAGGGAGCCAGAAAGGTTTAGTGGGACAAGAATCTCCAAAGTGCCAGAAACCACTTAGATTTTCTAGTGTTCCATTCTCCCTGAATCTTCTTCCAGCTCATTGTGAGGGGAGAGAATACATGAGAAAATGTATCAATCTGTTAATTCCTGGGAAGTAGCAACTAGAAGTCAAATTGAAGAGTAGTAAAAGCAACAGCAACAAGAACAACATGGTGCCAATATGTAAACAGGATCTGATTGTTCCTGTGGTTGCTCAGTTTCTGTTCATCTTATGTAATTTAATTGTATGTTTTAAAATAAACCAGGAAAAATAAAAAAGGCCTCTTTCTTCCTGACCCCATTCTAGTAGCCAGTGCTGTGACATTCAGGGACAATGAATAGATACACACACAGAATATTTTCTAATGAGGGACACATGCATACCTGTGTGTAAATCCATTTTGGGGGTTGTTGCTTTGTTTTTATATATATATATATATATAAATGTTTATATATATGTTTTATACAGAAAGCCTAGTATACTGTTTTGTAAGAAAATAAGGGCATAAGACAAGTGGAAAGAGTTGCAGCAGTGCTTAGCAAAATAAATGACACTGGAAATGTAAAGAAAATTGACACTCTAAGTGATGTGGAAGACTATTTTCTGTTTTCATTTTTGTGTGTGTGCTACTTATAATTTCCTGAGTAACTCAAAGCATTAGATGGTCTTACTTACTAACTATAGAATATAGTAAAAGCAGATACATGCTGATATACTTGTTCTGCACTAAACAGTTTTACATAAGAGATGAGGCCCAGAGGAAACTACATAAAAAGTTGCACACTTTATTATTCAGACAAACACCCCAGAGGTAACATGATGTTTCCTCTCAGAGAGACAGTGTGAACATGGGAATTGAAAGAGGCTTGGCATGAGAATCCATACAGGTTGGATTACTTCATCAAGTTGAGCAGGTGTACAATGAGAAAAATAAAAATGAAAATCACCAGCAAAATAAAACAGAATACATTTGATCTTTCTTGTCTAGATTTGGTGTGCTATCCTGTGTATTGTCTATGTACATACAGCATGACTGGATTTTGGGGTGGTTTAAAAATAAACAAAATCAGTTGTGCTAACACATGAGATGTTCATGATTCTTGATTTTTCATTTGCCTTGCAACAAAAAGCAACTTATTTTCTTGTACCAGTCTTCAGGTGTCCACCTGTAAGACTGAGACAATTTCAGCTTTTCCACTCTTGACTTCTCCTTGGATTTGATGTTGGCTTTTGGGCACAGGAAAATTCTCTTTATAGGTCAGACAAAACACCTGAAAGTAAGATCTCGTTAAATTGTACTTAAAAATTAAACAGGATACCAGAACCTTGTGCTCACTTCCTAGAACAATTTTTTTCAACTGTATTTGCTGGTCTTCACCCATCAGCTGGTCCAAAATTAATCCTTTGTTGTGCTGTGGAATCTATGAGGCAGGACAGCTGCACAAGTCACCTAGAGCAAAATATGTCTTGACAAGCTTGAGGTAAATTAACACATATATTAATGATATAAATGTGAGATTCAGAATTTGTTCTTTAGTTCACACCCTGCAGAGAGTAATATTTTGGCCAATTTTCTATGTTTCAAAGTCCAAAACTTTGAAGACAAGCAATCCTGCCTTTCCATTTGGTGTGTAATACAAGTGCTTTATGTCAGCTCCTAAGCTGCTGTTTATGATCACCAAAGTAATGAATAAAATAGGTGAAAGATGTACAATATCTGTTTTACTAGTGAAGAATCAAAAAACAGGTCAAAGTAAATCAAGTGTCAGTGTGTTTATTCACAGTGATATTATTTAAATGATTTACAGTAAAGCTCATGGAAATTCAGTTAAAACATATTTCAGCAGAATTCCAGGCTTAAATCCCACTTTCTTTTTACAGAAGGAAAAGCTTAATGGCCCACTTAAAGTGCTTTTGTAGTACTTAGATCCTGAGCTGAGAAGAGCAGCTTCTAAACAATGCAAGGCTGTAGCTGCTGATGGTCTCCCTACCCCTGGCACAAATGGTTTTGCTGGACAAGGACCCTTCAAAGTTATCAGAATGTCATTAAAATATTTGGAGGATACCCAACAAAGGAATTAAAAGCATGAAGGAGCAAGGGTGGAAACACACTAACAAATGTCAAGTGGGTGAATGTGTTTACATGTGATCACTTAGAAACTCAACAAAATCTGCCTGACAACAAGAGGAAGTTTGGGACACAGTTGTTTAAAACATCTTCCATGATGTCTGCAAGAGTAGTTCCTGATTTATGGACAAATAGACCATTTCTGCACCCTGGTGCCTCCTGGAGACAAACCCCTGTATTTATCATGTGTTCTAACAAGAGAAAATGGTAAAAGGTAGATGCCCATGATCAACTGCTGTGTTCTCAGTAGCCACCCTATTGGGTAACCCACAGCTTATCAAATGCCCACAGGGTGCCTACACAGATGCTAGTAAATGAAACAAATCCCCAATACAGGAACCCAGGTGTCAGTGCCTGCATGTGTCACCACAAACAATGTTTTTCCAAAATTTTCCTGGACAAAGTAGAGCAATGCAAAGATAATCCACTTGTTGGTTTTTGTTTTTTTTTTTTTTTCTTCAGGCCAGTTGTCATCCCAGGGATGAACAGCACCAGCAGTGCAGGTGTGTTCACTCTGTGGTTCAGACAGCTGACAAAGAACCAGCTGGTTTGTGCATGCCCCAGCACAAGGGAACTTAGAAGCCTGAGCAAGGTGCTTTGAATTTGTCCCTGGAGAAACCCCTGCCATTCCATTGATTCTATAGATTATATGGGTCCTAACTTTAGTTATCTATCTTTAGAAGTAAATGCAGGCTCTGCCTCCCCATTGTAACCTTGGCAATTTAATTTTAGATTTCATGGTGAGTGAATCTACATAGACTTTTAACACGTGCAAAGAAAGAAAGGCAATTGAAGCATAACATAAGCCAGGAAACTTCCATTGTCTTTCCATATCCACCAGCTGCACCAGTCACAATTCAGAGCTTAGTGTTTTTAAAAATTAAAATAACACAGTGATACTAATAAAGAGTTTCTCATACTATTTCAGTGTTTTCCCTCTTTTTATGCAGCTGAAGTTTGGACGTGCCAAGAGTCACACAATAAAATTATATCAAGAATATCAATGTTATGCTTCAGTTGAAGCCTGATCTCTAATAAACATCTGTGTCAAGAATGGTTCTGGGTTTCATTTTACTCCCAAGGTCCTTGAAAGGACCCTATTTTTTGGATATAAGTTTTCTGATAGTAAGGAATTCCTTAGCCCAGGATTCCTTCTGGGGACAAATGCATAGTTTTATAGACTTTCTAAAGTTGAATCGTGAAATCAAATCTCTTTTAAAATAGGTTCATTGATAATTAGACATTATGATTCTATGAGATCACATCACTTCAGGTTCTTGAAATCATCTGCCACATAGGGCTATGAATGACATCCCAGAGAAGGCACAATTCCTGTTATCTTCAAGATTCCCTTGTGCTGTTGAACAAATCTAATAGATTCAGATCTACAAAAGGAGTTAACACACTAAATTCTGATTTGGCAGTAGTGGGACTTTGCCTAATATCCCTTGTTACAACCCTCTCAGTGAAATCCTGTTCTCACTGAAGTCACAGTCATCGCTTGTTAGTTATTTATCTTGGGAAAACAACTATTCATCACCAGATAAAAACTCAATTTACCACCAGATCAGTTATTTGCTGCTGTGTGTCTTTTCTTATCAATCCAACTTTCTAGGGACTTGTGCCCCTGCCCACTCCCATGTAACCATGGACACCTGTCTCTGGCCATTCTGGTTCTTCTACACCCTGTCTAATTTAGATGATCAGCTAATAGGGATTAGCAGGCCCAGTTAGATAACTCAGTTGTACTTTTCTCAGATATGGACATCAGCCCTACTGCCTGTAATACTGTGATAAATTACTGTAGAATTCAGAATTTGGTAAGGAGGTTGAGCACAAAATAAACGCAGGAATGAAGACTGAATGGAAGTAACTGACTTATACAATAAAAGTCAACTGAATTGTGGATTTTGTTAGCATCCAAAAGAATTCATTCTCCTTTCACCTTGGTTGAACTATATACCCTGCTGCCCTTGAACCATGCCTGTCTGAACGAAAGGTCTTCAACTTTTTTCAGTCTTTGTGTTATGAGAGTTATAGATTTTGATAAAAAAGAACCCCGGAAGCTCAATGTACTCCCCTTCTCATGATCTCCTGAACTTCCTGATCTGTTGTGCTCTAAAGTCTGCCATGAATTGCCCTCATTGTGCCATTTCCTCTGTTTTGTTTCTATTCTTGTCTTAGAGCAGGAATTAAGCAGCTTGTGGAAAATAATCCACATAGTGATACTGTTTGCCCATTTTTGTTCCATTTGTAGAAATTTCTTTCTCCTTTCCCTTCTTCATTTTCAAGGCCCTGAGGAGAACTACTAACAGTTAAAGATGATCCCTCCATTTAAGCTCATTTTCCTTTAGGTTGTGTTCAGTTCACTTTTCTGAAGGGTGTATCCTTACTCCTAGGCAAAAACCTAGAGGGACCATCTATTAATTCTCTTTTTTTTTTATAGCCA